GTGTGTGTGTGTGTGTGTGTGTGTGTGTGAGGGAGGGAGAGAGAGAGAGAGAGAGTGTGTATGTGTCTCTGTGTGTGTGTGAGAGAAAGAGTGTGTGTGTGTGTGAGAGAGCGAGCGTGTGTGTGTGTGTGTTTTACTCTGCTCTGGAGGTTTTTGAGGCTCTTTTGAAAAATGTTTATTAATTTTTTTAACTATATTCTCTCTCTGATATTCAGTTACAGTGTGTATGTGTCTCTGTGTGTGTGTGAGAGAAAGAGTGTGTGTGTGTGTGAGAGAGCGAGCGTGTGTGTGTGTGTGTTTTACTCTGCTCTGGAGGTTTTTGAGGCTCTTTTGAAAAATGTTTATTAATTTTTTTAACTATATTCTCTCTCTGATATTCAGTTACTGAAATGAAGTGAGGCTGATGCGAGTTGTTACATTAGTCAATATAAGATGTTATTTTGTATTTAAAATGGCATAATCAAGAATATTTTATCTGCCCTTAAATATGCATTTGCTTGAGTATTATAAATATGTCGTTGTGTCTGTGTTTGTGGTTAAAGTGTGTGAGAGACATTTAGAAAATCTTCAACACTATGCAACTAAACACTTTATTTCTTCACTTTGTAGCCACAAGAAATCAGTTACTGACTTTATAATGCGATTACTTTATTGACTTTTATTTGTTGCAAGACATATATTATTTGTATTTAACAATGTTAATTGTGAAATTAAAGGAAACACTTAAAGTGTCTCTCTTTAATGTGTGTCAGGTGTTTATATTCACAATCAAATCTACATCATGCTAGAAATGAGCAGCAGTCTTCCTTTAATGCTATTTGGATTAAACTGGAACAGAGTTGGAAAGAAGCCGGAGTCATGTGTGTGTTGGTGAAAGTGGTGTGGTTTCTAGACAGCTGATGGATGGGTAAATAACAAGTCAATGCAACAATAAAAGTGTGAAACTGCGCATGAGCACTAGAGGTCGCTGACAGCCTGAGTTTTTAATTCATGCATCAGAAGAAATCATGACTTCTGAGCTAATAAAACATGCAACATGAAGCCCTCATGAGCTAAACCTCAAGTCATGCATGTTCTTCATTAATGTCTATTTTTCGACAGATACTGTATAAATAATAATCCTACTTTCATCTGGAAACTCAGAATTAGTGAGCTGCTCACTTCACAAGAAAATGCTGGAGAAATGCTCTTTATGTAGGCAGCTGATTCAGTTTTGAGCTATGAATATTTTTGAGAATGAAGCGTTTTAATTATGTTTGTTTTCTCTAGGAGCGTTTCAGCAGACTCTTTATGCCATTAGAATTGATTGTTGATTTTCTAAATATGTGTACATTATTTTGTCATCATTAGAATATTTGTATATTTATTTATTTAATTAATTTAATGTATTTTTCTGAAAATAGTGGCATTTCAGCAGATCGCTTCATGACAGAATTATATTAACATTAGATTTATTCAACAAGTTATTTTAGTCATCATTAGAATATTTCAATATTTATTTTATTTTAGTAATTTAATGTAATTTTCTGAATACCTAACGCACTGACAGAACTATTTTGACATTCGATCTGGTCATTTTCTAATTTTATTTTATTTTATTTTTTTTAATTTTGTCGTCATTAGAATATTGATTTATTTTATTTTACTAATCAAATGTAATTTTCTGAATACCAAACGCACTGACAGAATTATATTGACATTGGATCTGGTCATTTTCTAAATATTCCTTTAAATTAGTTTTGTCATAAATAGAATATTTATTGATTTATTTTAATGTAATTTTAAATAAAATTAAAATTTTATGTAATTTTCTGAATAACAAACACACTGAACGAACTATTTTGACATTAGATCTTATAATTTTCTAAATATTACTTTTATTTTTTTGTTACTTTTATTTATTTATTTTGTCATCATTAGAATATTTATTTTAATATATATTATATATATATATATATTAAAATAAATATTCTAATGAGGACAGCAATTATATATACACACACACACACACACACACACACACACAATTGCTGTCATCATTAGAATATTTATTTTATTATGAAATGAAATGCATTATTCCATCAGTGTGCGTGTGATTGATCGGCACGCGCTGTACACAGTCCAGGAAGCGCCAGAGAGCCGCGAGCGGAGCGGAGCTGTGTTTTTGACGCTTTTGGCCTTCCATACAGGGAGTTGAGCGCTGAACGCCGGGCGGCTCGGAGGTCTGTGGTCGCGGTTCACCGGATCGCCACGCGCTCGCTGGAGGAACGGAAAGCGCCGCCGCTGCGCATGCACAGTTTACCGAGAGTTACCGAGCAGAAAGAGACGAGCGGAGCGGAGGGATGGTGGATAACAGCGGCAGCGGCAAAACACAGATGGTGAGTCGGTGTAACTCGGTCTAAATGTTCACAATGTTACTAATAATGCTGAACTCTTGATCTGTCAATCAAACACTGCGACGCACCGGATCATCGGTACCGAGAGAGTCCGCTTCTGTGGCTCTTATATTGAGCTACTCTGCGAATAAAACATTAGCAGCCTCAACATTTGTAGAAACTATTCTCACTCAACAAATGCTGGAGGAAATGTCACAAAGAAACCTGAATTAAATCTGACATCTACAAAGACTGAAAGTCCAGTACAGAAAAATCTTTTTTACAGTGAATTTAAAATAAAACAAATGTTCTTATGCTCTCATAATTGCGATCAAATATATAAACATCCCTAGAACAGCATTTACCTGATTAGATAGAAGGAAGGAGAATTTATAAGTGAATTCATACAGTAAATGCATATTAAAGTGAATTTATCGCTTAATATGCATTTCTTATCTGTATCTGATGTACTTCTGCTTATCAGAGACGTGTATTTTACTCATATTTAAATCATTTAGACTTGGGGAAAATGACAGATATGCTCATTATAGTCAGTGTTCTCACCCTTTAAACCCACAAAAACCTTCTGTCGTGTTGAGAGTTTCATTATTTAGTCTCTTTATGGAGCTGTTTTTATCTTGGCGACCCACAATGGTGGTGATTTGAGTTTTATTATCACTGTGGTGACACACACGCACACACACACACACACACACTCTCTCACACACACACTCACACAC